GTGAAAATGCTTTCCCCTACCTCTAGCTAGTCAGTGGTTCTCATTTCATTCCTGTTCTCTCTTCTCCACGAGAAAAATGATTAGCTCCACAGAACAAGAAGATTTTAAACATCCCTCGGTAAACAACAGAGGAGATTGCTATGAGGAGAAAGAAACTTGGAAATGGAAAACGGTCAAATCTTTATTCTGGCATTCATGTGGTGTTTGCATCACTGTTTAATGATACTTTTGTTTATATCAGTGTAATGTATACAATACAAAATATTGTAATTGATATACATTCTTTAGAGTATTTTTTAAAAAATATTTTGTATGCATTTGTGCTTAACTGGATTTTCTTTGAGCTTTTAATAAGCTCCAAAAGTGTGCAATAAATATTTGGTAGACTGTAGATCCTATTTTAAGCTCCTAAGTACTGGGATTCACTTTACAATTACATTTCAATACAAGTACTTCAGACTTGGCAAATTTACCATGGAGCTAATTTCCAAGCAACTGCAAAAACTATGACAGTACCAAATACTGCACTACTTATCCAAGGAGAAACAGCATAAAAGTACACTAAGAAGTAGAATAACTCAAAGAAAATCTGACCAGTTGAGGTTTGGGAAGACTGACAGTGGCAGATTCTAACAGCACACACACGACTTCCCTCTTCATACAAAACCACTTTGAATAAAGGTCAATCAGACTCGTCAAGATGAGATCTAGTCCCAGTTCTAATCCAGGTCAGATGATTGGATCTGGAAGACTAATCTTTCATCACTTTTGAAGTTATCTTATCAATTAACACGTCAATAGGCATCACTCTGCTTTCAATGTGTATATCCACCAGGAGTAGGTCTCCTTGAAGCAACATTAAAACAAAATCAGCAAAAGGGATTCCCTTTTGCTTGCAAAGCTTGCCCAGCAACCCATGGGGATCTCAAGCATGAGATGTACCATCAGAACACCTGGGCACTTGTATGACTAGTGACAATGCAAATTGAATTTCCTCAAGAAAACAGGATTCACTGAAAACTGATACTGGCCAGACGTTTGAAAAATGAGATTTCATCCTCTTATTTTATTAATCTCTTATATTTTATATAATCTCTTGAAACAGGAGAGATTTTATAACTTTTGGTTCCAGGAAGCAGAGTGCTCTGTTGCATAAAATGTATTACTAATAAAAAGACCTCCAGAATGTTTGTTTTAATATGGTTGCGGAGAGGAAAGCGTATTATTTAGGCATGAAAAATCGTGGTTAATAAACTTGGTGCCCATTATCCACGGCTCACTGCCTTGAGCCACTTGACTCTGTTTCACTGCTGTCTGGCTCTGCACGTTCACTCGTTTGGGAGCAAGCAGAGCAACTGTCAGGTTTATCTGTCACAGGGCTGCTGAAAAAGAAAGAGCTGCACAGCGTTTTGTTGTGCCCCCTGCGCAGTGACTGGCAGACAGCTTGGCAAGCACAAGGGCTCATGAAAGAGCCTGTCCACATTCCAGGAAAGTTGAAAGACAGGTGAGAAGGACATTCAAATGTATTCCAGTTTCTAGACAGACTAAGATTAGTTTAAGGCCTCCTGGACAGGCATTCAAATTGCCAACAGCTAGCATTTACTTGAAAACTTCCACCTTAAGCTGAAATCCTTTCCTCTCTTCTGACATTCAAGTGCCAGTTACACAAACAAGGGTAACTGAGCATGTGCTGCTCCACAGCTTGGACTGATTACTATCTCAATGAATGAAAGGTGCAGGTTACTATTAAAAAAAAATAAAAAATCAGATTGCAGCTGTGCCCACTTCTGGAAAAAAGAACAGGTCTCTCAAATTCAAACTGACCTAAAAATCTCAGAAGGCACTTGATCCAGATTGCTGAAAAGAATGTATGAAAAATATGAGGGTCACGCTGCAGCAGCTTCCTAGAATCCTCCCTCCTGGAAAATGCAAACAGGATAGGGGAAATGACATGGCCCAGGAAGAGCTTCAGTTCCACAATACAGATAAATAGTTGGACTTGTACAATAATCATTGCTGCTGTGTTGGTTAATATAAGATTTGTGATATCAGTAATTAACAAATCCAATTTTGTGATTATTTACAGGAGAATGCTAACTATTTAAATAAGATAGCTAGTAACAAATACTTCAGAAACAGCATTTATATTAACCCAATAGGAGTAAAATTAAAAAATAATAAGAACTAAAAACCATCTTGCTGCTCCTGGCTACCTTCCTGCTGAATACATTATTCACTTACTCTGTTTTGTGTGACAGAAATACAGAATTCTCATGTTATCCGGGTCATCTAGAACTTGTTCCAAATTCCTCATTTCCCACACACCAAAGACAAATGGGGCAGTTTAAGACGCTGTCGTGCTGAGCTGAGTATTACTTTACCCAGCTGTAACGTTTCTGACATGAGTGGCACTGCCTGTAGGTGTAGGGTGCTTGCACAAAACAAATCTGCCTCAACAAAGGTGGAAAAAATTTGGGCCTACAGAGCGACAGATTACTTAAACAGAAGGACAGCTACATTTCTGAGAAACACTGATGAGTCTTATCCAAAACAGTAAATTACAATATCTGCTCTGCAATTCCATGTCATTTGTTTCCTTCTAATTAAAATCTGCACACTTTTGCACAGGACCTACTGCCACTCCCATTTACTGAGCATGGACTTCCTTACCATAAGATCAATATATTTTTTAAAATGTTCCAGCTTATGCTGAGGAAATTATTCTGGCTACCAGGATACTTTTAATCAGAGCCTTCTTACCAGTATGTCCCCAGACTAATAGGAAGAAGTCCAATCTGGAGACCACTGAACACTAAATTAGATCTAACCATGGAGCACTTTTCCAACTGTTCAGCAGCAAGTCTAAAACCAGCAAATGCTGTTTAAGTGTCCATTAAAATACTACAAGCAATGCCATAATAGTTGCTTCAAGGTCATAATCAGAAAAGTGAGCGTGAGCACTCAATGTTCTCCTTGCCAACTGCTCCTTCACATACAAATACTTTCAGAAGTCCCCTAGAGCCTCAAGACCACAGAGTACTCTGAGAATCCCATGACGAAAGCAGCTTCTCAAGGTTTACCTACTAACAGTTAAATGATTAAAGCACTGTTCCCTGTTGTCTGGCATGTAGGTTTTGCCCCTCTAAAAAAAGGCGTAATCTGCATTAATGTACACAGGATAATTACTGCATCTGGGCTTAGATATGCAACTCCTTGAAGCACAGCACTGCATGCACACAGTGACTGTAGTATAAAGCATGAAAGGTGCTTAATGCTTTGTTCAAAACGTGAGTTATGAGATGGGTGATCTTTCTACTGCGAGAAATTTCATCTATACAGCATCCTAGGTTAGAAAGAGAAATTGCGTATCACTTCAAACTTGTAATGACAACATACTTTTGGATGGGGGGAAACCAGAAGAGTTATATCAGAATTAATTTTTTTTTAATAGTTTCTTTCTCAGAGCTCAAAACAATGAATAAACTTTTAGCTTTCCTTCTGCCTGCAGCATCCCCATGTACCAAACACATTGCAAGTCTAACAGCAACAAACATGCCAGACACACCAACACGCACCAGGTCACTTCCATGCTTACTGTTCTCATGCCTGTTAAACTTTCTCCCTCCCAGATGCAGTCTTCCTTCTAGTGCAGAGGCTGATCATGAAGTCACTGCAGTACCAACAGACTGGTGAGATATGGGCCAGGAAAGAAGAAGGGAGATGCCAGAAAAAGTATGTATAAAGGGCTGAGACAGAATCATTGGCTGTCTGCAGGAGAAGATGGACAGCTTGTCACCACTGCAGCTCAAGGGTATGTTGTAACCAAACCACGTGTGCTTTTGCTTGTCTTTCTCTAGAATAAGGTGGCCCATATCTGCAAATAAAATCTTATGGCTAAGTGGCACATCAGAATAGTCCTCTGCTTAACAAATAGAAAAATTTAAATAATTCTTACATTTTAGCTCTTTGGCTTTGCTCATGAATTTATAAACTAAATCTATGTTTATTTTTATATAGCATATAGCAGCATCAAAGACCACAGTCAGAATGGCAGACATTAAAGAGTAATCATGAAAATTCAGATTTTCATTTTTGGTTAAGTCAGAAAGAGTTAATATGTATAATAAATGCTATGGTTTTATTTTATATTTTATGCCATTTAATATTTGAGGGTGGTGGGTATAAGCCAGAATCATTTAGTTTTGTATACCACCTTCTCTGAGTGCATCATCCATGATGATATTAGGAATGCTAGGAAGTTAAACTCACTTCACTTCTGCTCCCTCTACTGACTGGCTGCAATAGTAGCTGACTTCCCTCTCTGAAAGAGTTATGGATTCCAGTGTGATTATGGAGATGAGTGCGTGCAATTCAGAATTTCACATTCAGCTTAGGAAATTCTTTATGCCACATTAATAAATACTGACGAGTACATCTTACACCCCTGATTATGACAATGTATTAAATCACACATGGCATAAAATACTTGAATATACAATTGAGTCTGAAATGATTTCTCTTACAACTAAGCCACACTTGGTGCAATAAGAATAAAATACTGAGCATGGCTGATAACAATAAGGTCTTTCATATGCAATTTTGCTTGCATGTGCAGGTACTTGCAACACAGTAGTCCTGAAGGATCTAGACATTCAACCACAAACGCTAAAAGCATAAAAACAATCAGATGGCACCTCCGCCCTCACATCAGCCACTGACCAAATTTCCTTTCTTGGACTTTGCCGAGGCTCTCATTTCCTCCCCACACTTAAATCTTCTGTGTCTGTTACAATCTGTGACTTGCACTGTGCTATAAAACTGTTGGCATCCTACCTTTCTTTTTTCAATCCTTGCCTCCCTTTTGCCCGACACAGAAACAACAGACTAGCACGTCCCAGTGACTTTTCAGTGGAAAAGGTGATTATATTAATGTCAGAAGCTGAAAAATCAGTAAATCTAGTTAGTCTGTAAAATAAAGAAGAGGAAAAGATCATACTTACAGCAGCTGCAGAGACACAAGATCATCAAAAAGGCCCTGGGGAATCTCTGTGATCTTGTTTCCATAGAGCACTCTGAAAGATACGGGAAGGCAAAATAAATCTTAAATAACAGACCAGTTTAGTGTCCTCCCACATCTCTGCATTATCATCTTTATTGATCTTGTGTACCATGCCCAGGATCTGTGGGCATTTCATTTAACTACTGATCTCATTTTCTTTTCGGAGAGCACATGGTACCAAATGAGTCGTTGTGATTCAGGCTTCGTCTGGGGTTGGAAAGCATTTTAATGTAGAAACTGGAAATTACCCAGAAAGTGTATCTAAAATATTTTTCATTCTGTCAAGGTTTTTTTTCATCCTTTTTAGAAGTATTTTAACCACTGAAAAGCACATTGCAGGAATCAAAAACCTAGAATTCTGCTCAGTGATAGTGAATTTAAAAGCCAAGAAGCAGAAGCTAGTTGCAGATAAAATTTCACATAACTGACCCTCTTCAGATATAATAATTGGCAAGAAATGTGACACAGGCATCAGTGGATAAAATGTTACGGCTTCACCAGCTGCTATTACAGTTTCAACTGGCTAATATATACAAAAATAATAAATAAAGGAAAAGCCTGAACTGGGAATAGTCATATCATATATTTTGGAAATGCTGAAGTAATTTAGGTATAGTTTAGGTATTAAAAAAAAAACAACAATGAAGATTAAATACACAAGTAAAAGGCACTGTGTAAGCTTTCATTTTTTCCAACCATAAATATATGCTTTCATATTTATGATTCATTTCAATATTAAAAATATTTCCTTTTTTATTGAAAAACTGAAGACATATTATCATCAGAAATTGAACTAAAAAAACCCACACACACAAAACCACCATTACAATACAATACACTACATAGGGATCAGAACAAAATTATAAAACAGGACTTCAAACTTCTTTAAAGCACTTTCTCAAGCAATTTCTGTAAGTTGATAAAATTTGCCCAGACCAGAAGGTGAGTTATGAGTTCATACAACCATGGGAAGAGGGAAGAGGTCCAGGCTCCCTCTGAATGTTACCCCTTGACCATTTTAGTAGGCATCAAATTGAGGAAAACAAGATTTATGTTATTTGTGGGCTCTCCACTGGATGCAATAAATGGTTACAAACCAGTTCATGCCAAAGCTGTGCTGCTCGTGTCACTGAAACGGTTCATTCCCAAACTTTTTGATGTGCAACAACATGCAAGCAATGAATCAAACAGCTATGTGAGGCTCGGACGTTGGCTCAAATCCTGGATTACTCTGTCTTTCAACATTTAAAATATTATGGTGTGCTGAACACAGTGAAAAACAAACACTTAGCATGACAGGCCATTTACAATACTCTCCGGCCTTCCCAGAGTATGGCCACTTCAATTTACTCTTCATCAGTCACTGGAAGAATATCAACTCTGAGTTGGAGAGTTCCTAGATCAGCTCATTTCTGAGCCTAAGAAAATGAATATAAATAAAATAATACAACTTAGATATGAAATTCTAAACTTGAAACTTCATTTTTCATGACTTTCGTAGTTTAGAAAGACCTGAACTTCCACTCAAGGAATTAATGATCACAGCATTGTATTTTCTCCAAACAAATCATGGAATCATTAAGGTTGGGGATGACCTCTAAGATCATCTAGTCCAATGATTTCTATTCATATACTGTAGAATCAAGAAGCTGGCTTTTAATGTGCTGATACAGTGATTTTTTGGTGAGCAATGAATGCCCACTATTTTTTTTTTTTCCTATTTCTTCCCTAATTTCATTTGCAGATAGATTTTTTACAGTCAAAATATGAAGTTAATGTCTACAGAATCTAGTGAACAGTATTTTGTTTAGCAAGTGCCTGGTCTATATACAAAGTTTAGATGATAAACTTTCTGAGGCGAGATTATCATCTTATCTTTGTGAAGCAGCAGGATAACCAATGCTGATCAGCAATGCATAATACTATAGAATATAGGAAACAGTTCAGAAGCCAAGCCTTACAAATGTACATGGACAAAAGGAAAAAAAATATCCATTCCAAACTAAGGGTTATTTTGGCTGCAGAAGCAGTAAAAACTCACGTAAAATAAAACTCTAGAGTATTTGCAGCTAGTATAGTTGTTAGTTGTTGTACTACTAAATACAAATACCAAATGACGACTCTGGTTAAAGTAGTTTTTTAATTAATTATTTAAAAGTCAGGTGGTCATAAAGCTGTGTTCCATTGAATTTGAAACCTTGCATGTGTTTATACAGCTTCTTTATTATTTTGAACAAAATAAAACTCATTAAAATCATTTCTAAAACAAAACAAAGCTTCACATTTAGAAGCCATGAAAGGAAAATAAGAATATTCAAACCTAATTGGGCTTACGTGCTTGTGGCAGATTAGCATTCGAACAAATTAACAGCTAAACAAAAGTCAGTATGAGAGCTCAGGCACTTGTCTCGAATTCATATTCATGTTCAGCAATACACAGAGCCAAATTAGCTAATGCCATTGTCTGCCTGCTGTGCCAGAGCTGAAGTCAAACGGTCCTACAGAAAGAAGTGACACGGAGGGGAGCGGAGATGCACAATCAGACCTTGCATCTCAGTTCTTGAGTTACTTATTTCCATTTATTCTAACAGAAAACACAGAAACTTTCACTCTCCTCAGAAGTCTCGCCATTTCTATGACAGGAAAACATACTCACAAATATGAATAACTGTCAGGCTCTTGATTCAAGATGCTTTTGTTCGGGATGTATCACCTGCAGCACCCTGAATAGTACCTGCCTACCAAACAGAATGGCCAGCCTGTGGACATCCCATTAGAGCCTGCACTCCCCTCTGCCCTGTCTTCTGCTCACCTCACAGAAAAACTCTGCAGTGTTTTTGGACAGAGGCATTGGGAAGGGTGGAGGTAGAAAAGGAGAGCAAAAAAAACCACAACAGAACTTCAAACAAAACAATAAGGGAAATAAGGAAAAGGCCACATAGTTAGGGACTCAGCCAGCCAGTAAACTGCATTTACATCTCCAATTCTTTTACTAAACTTTAGTGGACTACAAATTTTAGGCCTCTGCCTACGGCATTATGCATTTTCACTTGCATCTCTCTTGTATTTTGGTTATATTTTGCAGGACACATAGGTTTACCAGCTATTGTAAAGTCTAGTATAGAAACATAGCCCTCCTTCTATTCCCCAGCATCGGAAATTTAGACCAAAAATATGTTTAACTAACTAATAACGTTAATACATACCAGAAAAGCAGCTTACTAACTGCTGCCAGCAGACAATTCAGTGAATCAAAAGGACATTTATTAGAATGTTAAAATAATTACTAAAATGTTTGTTCTGTGCTCTTGATTTTTCATTTGCTCCTCAACTTTGGTGGGAGACCAAATGAGCCAGTCTGATAGATGTCATTTACTGTCAGGTGGAGAAGATGTACACTTTGGTATAATAAGCCTGATATACTCTGATTCTCTATTCACAATGCTAATTTTGAAAGTATAAAATAGAGACTAAGCCAAAATAAATGGAGAGACCAGTCTTTATTATGTTTCCTTTCTTCCTTATCTCACTACACGACAGTCTCCATTGCAGTGATGGAAACCAGTGTGAAGGAAGAAAACAGTCACAAAGATGTGTCAACATGCTTGGCTTGCCAATGCATAAGGACTATTCTTGTGTTTTCCACACACAGGTACAGCTCATCCCAGAATGCCTAGAGTGAGGTTCATGGTATTTTTCAAGCAAACATTTCCCAGTTTTTTGCAGGTTCCTGTTATGGCATAGGTGCAGCTGAGCCAGGAGGGGCCAGATTCTCAGCAGCATGAAGAGCATCAGTTTGTCAGTTTACAGCTAAATGCTTCCAGCGTGGCCAAGAACCACAAGCTGCTATTCTTCAGAAGCATCTGGCGGATTGGCAATCAACCTGCAGCAGCTTTGGGGCCACCATCAACCTTCCTAACAGTGGCAAGGACACTGCATGTAATGCACAGCCCCTGGCTGCACTGCAGGCAGTGGAGCAGATGCCCAGAAGAAGCACCCTATTTAGCTGAAGAGGGAGTGTTTGCTGAAAAAAATCCAGGTATATTCAGCTTTTTACAAAAACTGCTCTAAAAATAGGACAATTTTTTTTTTTTTTTTTTCCTGACTCAACTAGTTGCTTTCATTTAAAAGAACTGAAAAAAGGAATAACTTATAAACCTTTATTTTACCCCTCATTAAATTAAAACATGCAGTTCCGTGTGTAAAGTTATGATGCTTGAGTTCCCATGTGCAATCTGCAGTGCCCAAACATGCCCAGCTTTCCCCCAGCATCACACAAATACTTTTCCTCCATCAGCTGCCTACTTGGATAGAGTCTGTGAGAGTTTATCATCTCTGAGAGCTCCTCCACAACAATTTCAGCTGCAGCTGGACAGAGAGTTCATTTTTTGTATCAGGGAAGAATAGAGGAGATTAAGATTTGGTAGGAAATTGTGATGGCAGACGAGTGTTGCCTCAGAAACCAAGTGCAACACCTACTGCATTCTATAAAACCTCACCCATTCCCCTTTATGGAGTTATCAGAAATCTGCAGTAGGAAATGACATAAACATAGAAAGTCATAACAAGCCATTATAATTTTTCAGCCTGATTCTGGTACTGCACTTTTATATGCCAATATAAAGTGTATCTATTCCAAGATGCTATTAATTTCCAAATAAACAATTACTGGTTACAACTAAACTTCAGATTTTGCAGATTAATCCAACTGATGCTCTATATAGTTAAAGATTAAGCAGTCACTGCATAACTTCATCTAAAAGTCTGGGAAGCATCAGATAAAGGATGATGCACTGGGAGCACTATCTCATGCCTAGCAACAAGTGTGTCATCTTAGTGAGAAAGCATCTGGGCATGGCAGAGCCCTTCAGCAGCACGATCTGGAAATGTGAAAGCCTCAGTGATTGTTCACAGTCTCGAGACATTCTGACCTCCTGGACAATTTCAAAATTAAGGAATTTGCTGACTCTACAAACATGTTCCCTTTCACATGCACTGAAGTTTACCATACCT